ATTTTAGAGAGTTCATGTTATGTTAGTTTTTATTTCATATACAGTTTTTATTTTTAAAAATAGCTGTTAGGACTTACCAAATTCCCTTTTAAAATCATTTGTGAATATATTCAAATACTTCTCCTTTTATTTACTGATGTAAAATTACAGAGAGATTTTCAATTGTTGAAGTGTTTTTTCTCTTATTCAGTCTCATTGTCATTACCTTTCTCTTTCTTTCTGTTTCTAAATAGCCTGTAACTACAAGTTTTATTTCATCTTTAACCCAACACAGTGTGTTTTGTTTTGCTTTCTAAAATCTTAAGAAATTTATTTTCCTTATGCAATATGTTTCAACTCTATTGATTGTAACTTATTGAGACTTCTTTTGTGGCCAAGATTATGCTAAATATTGATGATGTGTTCTCTGTTTTTAAGTTACAAGATTAAATAATAACTCATTCTTATTAACTTATCTAGAACCTGTATATTTTGTCCATTTTGGTATATGGAAAGAGTAAAAACTTAGGGGTGAATTGTTTTGCAATGCCCATAAAACATTTGTCCCATTATTTGTTTCTTGAATTTTGAATTGACATTAATGGGAACTGTTCTGCTTTTTGTTTTATTTGAAGTTGCATACCATAAATTGCCTATTTTTGATTTCAGCATATTTTGTGTCACTGCATCTTTAGTTGGATTCTATCTTTGAGTCCAATCAGTATCAATATCATCAATACTGATGATGCTTCCAATATCATTAATATTGCCTTTCAGTATCATTTCTTCAGGTATATTCAGTGTTATAATTTTTCAACCTTTCTTCTGTCTTACCTTTTATAAGTCATTGTTTTTCTTGTTTTATCTCTCTAAAAATGCAAACTAGGTTTGCTCTTTATTTTTATTTTCAGAGTTTCATAGGTCTTATAAGATCTGATTTCACTCAGTCAGTAGTTACCTTCAACTTTTCAAGTTCATTGTTTAATCTGTATTTCTGTAATTGTTACAGTTGAATCTGAAACCATATTTTTCCACCATATTGTTGTCATACTTGAAACAAATTCCTTAACTCAGTTTTTCTTCACCAACCCTGTTCAACATTTTAAGTTTGTTGATATAATTTGAAGCTTTAATTCAAATAGTTACTATTTGGAATTTCCCCCCATTTCCCATAATATCTGTTTCTCCTGGGGTAACTTTTTTCTCTCTTTTTTTTTTTTTATGCTAGTCTTTCTAATATTGAAGTATTTCCTCAAATGTCTATTGATCTGTGGTTATTTGTTTCTACATAAGAGAAGGCTTTGGAAATCAATCAATGTGATTCACCAATTAAAAATAAAGAAGGAAAATCATATGAATATCTCATTAATGCGTTTGATAAAATTTAACATCTGTTCATGATAAAACTTCCAGCATATCAGGAATAGGTAGGAACTCAGCAAATTAGGAATAGATAGGTAGGAAAGTCATATGAATATCTTGGTAGATGCATTTGATAAAATTAGTAGTTCATGATAAAATTCTCAGCAAGTTAGAAATAGTGAGGAATGCAAAACACAGTGGCTGACAGCTGTGATCCCAACTCTTTGGGAGGCCAAGGTGGGAGGATCACTTGAAGCCAGGAGTTCAAGACCAGCCTAGGCCACAAAGCGAGACCCTCTCTCTACAAAATATAAAAATAAAATAAAAAATTAGCTGGGCATGGTAACGTCTATAGTCCTAGCTATTCAGGAAGCTGAGGTGGGAGTGACTATGAACCCCGGGAGTTGAGGCTGCCATGGAGCATGATTGCGTATATGCACTCCAGCGCCCTCGGGCAACAGAAAAACCTTCAAAAGAAGGAAGTTCGTACAGGAGGGAGGAGGTTTGACAGTAGTGGAGTGGGAGCAATGTTGCTGGGTGGTGGGGGGGAAGAGAGAGAGAGAGAGAGAGAGATGACAGGAAAGAAAAGAAAGAAGAAGAAAGAAAGAAAGAAGAAAGAAAGAAAGAAAGAAAGAGAAAGAAGAGATAAAGAAAGAAGAAGTGAAAGATAGAAAGAAGGAAAGAAAAGAAAGAAAGAGAAAGAAGGAAAGAAGAAAAGAAAGAAAAAAAAAAGATAGAAAGAAAGGAAGAAAAAGAAAAATGAAAGAAAGGAAAAAGAGAATGAAGAAAAGAAAGGAAGGGAAAGAAAGGGAAAGAGGTAAAAATATGTACAAAGGCATAACAAACATCACACTTAGTGATATTGCTAGTTGCTTTTTCCCCGAAATTGGAAATAAGACAAGGAAGTTGTCTCTCACTTCTCTGCAACATTGTATTTAAACTCCTGAGCAGTGAAATAAGATCCAAAAAAGGAAATAATTGTTATTTGGGGAAAAGAAACAGTGAATCAGTCTTTTTTTGTTGATAACATTATTTTCTTTAAAATATAAAAGAAATCTATAAATACTTTATTAGAACTAATACATGAATTTAGCAATGCCATAAATACATGGTTAATGTTTCTCAAACCAATTATATTTCCTACAATGGTAATAAGGAATTTGAAAAGCAATATCATTTAAAGTAGTACCAGAGAGAATAAAATAACTAGAAATAAATTTAATGAAAGATGTGCCTGATTTTTAAAATTTATCTAAATAAATGGAGAAATATACGACGCTAACAGATTTCTAGCTCAATATTATTGTCAGCTCCCCCAAATTTATCTATAGTTTCAAATCAAACCCAAGAAAAATCCAAAAGCCTTTTCTTGTAGAAATTGGCAAATTGATTTGAAAAGATATGTGGAAAATCAAAGAATCTAGAAAGTCCAAGACAATCTTTTCTAATTGACTTCAAGACTTTCTTTAAGCCATGGTATTTAATACAAAATCATATCAGCATAAGGGTAGACAAACAGATCAATGGTATGGCATAGAAAGTAGAGATATAAACCCATGCTTATATTGTAAATTGCTTTTTGAATATTTTCATGACCTTGGAGTGGCAAATTCTTCTTAGAGAGTACACTGAAGTCATTAATTATGAAAGAAAAAATAATAAATTGGACTTCATCAAAGTTAAAGATTTTTTCCTATCAAAAGACATAATTAAGAAAATAAAAGAGAAGCTACAGACTGGGTGAAAATATTTACAATACATAAATCAGACAAAACACTTCTATCCATAATCTATAAAAAAAACTCCTACCCATCATAAATAAAATAAAATTCAATAATATAAATGGGTCAAACATTTGAACAGATACTTCACCAAAAAATAAATAAGTTGCCAGTAAACACTTGAAAATGTGCTTGACATAATTTCCTCATTAAAGAAATACAAATTAAAACTAAAATTAGATATCACATCGTACATACTGGAATGGCTAAAACTAGAAAGGCCATCACTGGTAGTCTTTATAAAAACAGTTTGTCAGGTTTTAAAATGGTTAAATGTACTCTTACGCAATGATCCAGTAATTCCACTCCCACATATTTACCCAAGAGAAATGAAAACATTCTTCCACAAAAAGACTTGCACAAGAACAGCAGTTTTATTTATACTAGTCTCAAACTGGAATCCACTCCAATGTCCATCAACAGAAAAATGAGTAAGCAGATTGTGGTAGATTCACACAATGGAATACCGCTTAACAGTAGAAATGAACAAACTAGCTGTTCAACACAGCAACATAGATGATAAGCAAAATAAGACAGACACAAAAGCATGTATATGTTTTACCCATTTATATGAAATCCAAGAGCAGGCAGTATTAACATATGACAGAATAAATGACAGCAATGGTTGCCCCTGAGAGGCTGCCTGGCTGCATGTAGTCAGCATGCAGGGTGACAAGCAGTGTATGCATTGCTCTCTTCATTTTTCAAATAACAAATCAGTTTTTAGTTGTGTGTCTCCCTTCACATCTCCACTGTTTCTTCAGAATTCTGTAGAGCACCACGATTGCTTTCTTAACCTCTGGGAGCATCCCCTACCTATTATTGCAACTAGCACTTTTCTGACCACTTTTTGTCTTTGAGATTTTATTTGAAATCTCTTATGTGCTCATTGTCCTCCACCATCCTCTTTGTCATCGTAAATCTAATTCCTTTGTTAGTATTTTAATGATCTTTAACCAGAAACTTTTTTTTTTACAGGAATTCAAACCAATAATGTGACATGATTGTGTCCTGCTTTATGCTGCGTAATGAGAAGTGCCTATAATTCTCTTCCAGTTGGATAAAAAGATCTCCCAAGTTTTCATAACATTTAGGAATACTGAGATGTTGATTAAAACGTTATCAGAGCAATAACATGATCAACTAAGAACTAGAATTAGAGACTCAGCTTTAAAATTGCTTTAACAGGAAACAGCAGCAATTTCTGAAATTCAGATGCCTAAAATGATTAACCGTATATAGCAATAGTACAGACAGATTTATATTAACACAAAGCAGAGCCAGATGTTCCAGGAGATATCACTGATATTCTCATGAAATTCTCAATAATATGGTATTGTTATCATTATTAAACCACACTGTATTATTTATGAATTAATTTTATGATATATGATGGTATTTCCTTCCTAGCAGCTATAGATTAGAGAGGGACATCTTATTTTTATTTTGCCAAATTTGTTTTCTCTCAGTTGTTGATTAAGATGCATTTTCAGGGTTAGATTTTTATTTACATTCCATTGACTTTCATTTCTCTATGGATGACCTGCTTACTCCATCTAGATTCTGTAGGAATTTAATACTTTTATTTTGAAAAATATTCCAGATATGGTTAGGTGAAGATATCTTTACAATGACTTTGTTCAGTTTAGACTGGGCTTTTTCAGTAACCTCTATATTAGTCTTGCATAGGCTCCATGATATCTTCTATTACATCTTTGTTTGTTGCTTCAATTCCATTTATTCTGGGCTCTACTGAGTATCACCTATTTTATATGTGTTCGTTCTTTGTAGCTTGTCCTTTATATGTAAAGTCTTACAGTCTCCACAAACATCTCAGAATCTTGACGACCATTTTCACATGGTGTCCTTTTTCCCTAGGATATTCACGGAAGACCAGGATGTAGATGAGGGGCTTCTCTATGACACTATATTCAAGCACTTCAAAAGACATAAGCTGGAGATTTCAAATGCAATAAAAAAGACATTTCCATTCCTTGAGGGCCTCCGCGACCGTGAACTCATCACAGATAAAATGTTTGAAGTAAGTGAAGTTTATTTCACAGCCTGGCAGATATGCTTTCATATTTTACAAGTATTTCTGTAAGTGCTCCTGTAAGGCAGAAAAGAAGAGGAGAAGCAGAGGTCACCAGAGATGGCCCTACTTCCAGCTAAGGAAATGGTGTTCCATGGCACCCTCTGGAGTTGGGGTCAATGGTACCGGAGAAACTGGAATAGAAACAGGTGTTCTCCATAAATGTACAATGTTTTGTAGAATTCATACACTATAACATAAACCAAAATTTAAAAATAATTTTAATGAATTGATTTACTGAAAACATAATTAACAGAGCATTTTATTTCAATTAACATCAATTTAAAATACCTAGATCTGAGAACATTAAAACCCACAGGGAACTGGTGTCTAGAGGGGACAAATTTGGAAGTAGATGCTTGTTATTCTTTCTCCAACACATTCGTTTTCTTTGTCTTTCCTTTATTTGTGCATTTCTGGAGTCTTGGACTATGGGTAAATTCCATCCATAGGCCCTGCTGGAGATACAGAGCAGTGAGTCATCTCCGGCTATGAATGTGCTTCCTCTGTGGCCAAGTTCACAGCAAGGGGAGAATGGTCACCTGGTTTCCTTGAGCCCTTCAGGCCAAATCAGTCTTGGGGGAAAAGCAGAGGTTGTCCAGTCAACAAAACAGCCACTCATTGATTGCCTGCTACGTCTATCCCAAAAACATATCAGTCAGGCGCTTAAAGAACTTTGAGCCCACTTTTATCCTTCAAAGTTGTTCCTTTTTACATCTAATGTAAATAAGGGTGAGGCGATCAGGCTCAATCAGTGGGTATTTTTAAGGAGATGGAATTTACTTCTTTCATTACTGGCTATACAAATATGTAAAAATTATGAAACTTTACATGCAAAGATACCTGTGAAGAGAAATTGAAATTCAGTAAACATAAAATTTCTTTTTATGGCTCTTCTGTAACTTGAAAGTCTGTATTTGTATTTTTTCCATTCAATATTTTTTAAAGGATTCTCAAGATTCTTGTAGAAACCTGGTCCCTGTACAAAGAGTGGTGTACAATGTTCTCAGTGAGCTGGAGAAGACATTTAACCTGCCAGTTTTGGAAGCACTGTTCAGCGAGGTCAACATGCAGGAATACCCCGATTTAATTCACATTCGTAAAAGCTTCAACAATGGTAATTAGGTTTATTATCTACTTTTGAGTTCCAGGGCCAATTTTTTTCAATAAGCATATACTGAGCTCCTACCATGTGTGACACATTGTGTTGGGCAGTGGGGATAGAGTAGTTAACAAAATAGACGTGTCATGCATTGTCTTGAAGCCCGTGGTATATGGTTATGGTAAAACAGATACCTGGAGGTCTGGTTCACTGGCCACTTAGACTCACAGGACAACCAGAGCCACGCTGGCATCAGATTGACTTAGAAGATAAGAAACACAGAACCCCAACGGGGCAGCATCAGTTGTTTCTTCTCTTTAGTGGGAGTCCTTGCAGTGGCCTACATAGCAGCCCACTAAATTGACTACTACCTGCCTTGAGTGACAGCTTAGCTGTTGGTGCGGGATCCACTTTGGCATAGCACCACATGTCTGTGGGAGTCAATATCTCTTGTAACAACTCCATAGTCATAGCTTTCAGGATGCCACAGGGACAATCTGAGTTGTAAGAGTTATCAATTGAAGGAAGACCACACTTATTCCTTCCCTACAGGTATTTATAGTTCATGTAGAGTTTCAGGCAACCAGTTATGGGTCATTTCTAAGCCTAGGGTTTGCCCACTAAGACCAGGAAAAGGCTACCTTTATTAAATTTCTAGAATGATGAGCAAGAAAATTAGCCCCGGGTCAAGTTTGACTTTACTGAAGGATAAATAGTTTTGTTAACCCTTTACCCACAAGGGTTAAAAGAAACGTTAATCAAATAATCACAAAACTGATTGCTCTGACAGGGACTATTTTTGGTGCTGTATCAAACTAAAGTTTTGATTCTTGACTTTTTTCCTGAGAAGGCATAATTTATACTATTATAATGGTACACAGTAAAGATGCCCTCTATTTTGTTTTACTTGCCTGGCTAAATTTTATTCCCCTCACAGTTTGATCTCAACCCAGTTCTCCAAATGAGAGATAGAGACATCACAAGAAAAATGAGCACGTGCCCTGAAGAGGGTGGATGCTATGGGGACTGGAATAAAAGTGTGAAAGCATGTCTGCAAAACAGGACAAACTGGATCTGACTAAATCCAAGAGTGAGAAGCAGTATAGGAGCTGACCTAAGAGAGATCAATTGGAGGAAGATAGTAAATGGTCTGGAATCCAAAGCTAAGGAATTTGAAGTTTATTTACTAGGCAATAAAGAAATACTACAAATTTATAAACAAGGAAAAAAGTGTAGGCAGTTATATATGGTATGGCTTATTGATTTGTATTAATACTAACATTATCTAGATTAAAATAATTGTTGTAACAAGTCATTCAAGTCAAAAAGTGAATAAAAGGAAATCACATATCTGGGCACAAATTTCAAGTCAATGTTATGTTTGTAAGCAGGATGGCCCAGGCTGTGGGGATGAAGGGAATAGTGTTACATTTACTGCCCACATTCACAGGGGCTCTGTTCCTCTCCATGGACTGCAGGGACTCCCTTCCTAACCCCAGTGTCCACAACTCATGTGTTAGTTTCTGGCACTCCTTATGCTTGGGTGACCTGCACTGAGGCTCACTGTCCCCTTCCTGGGCCAGCACTGCCCACTGCCCCAGCCAGCACAGCAGTCCACCCACCCTCAGGGAGATACTGCTGACTCTCAGACCCTAAAGTCCACACAAGCTGCCCCTGTGTCCCCTGTTATGTTTATTTGGGAACTGTTCATCCTCCCTGACCCAATTAAGCCAACGTTTTCCTGTTTTCTAGCCTCATCTTTAAAGCTGTTGGAGTTTTCTCTTTTATTTTTTATATATGTATGTTTTTGGAGATAAGATCTCACTCTGCCCAGGTTAGATGGCAGGCTAGTGAGCTATCTCTGTTCACTACAACCTTGACTTCCTGGACTCAAGTAGTTCTCCCGCTTCAGCCTTCTTAGTAGCTGGGACCACAGGTGCACACAACCACATCAGGCTGATTTTGTTAGTTTTTTTTTTTTTCTGACACAAGGTCTTGCTGTGTGGTCTAAGCTGGTCTCAAAATCCTAGGCTTAGGCGATGCTCCTGCATCACCATCCCACAGTTCAATGATTACAAGTGTGAGCCACTTCACCTGGCCAGTTTTCTCTTTTATGATGGAATCTCTCTAGGACCTGAGACTATCCTTCCAGGGAATCCCTCTGTTTCTTCCTTACACTGGATATATGCCTACCCTGCCAAATGACAATTTTGCAGGTAACACAACTCACTGTGTTTCCATTACTTCTTTATCGTTAAATTTTGAGTATCCCCTTTCTGTGTAGGACACATAAAAGCTCATTGTTGAGGTCGTCTCTTCTCTGTCCCAGAAGATGATGGGAGAAGTTTAAGTCATGTGTAACCCTCTGAGTTCTGAGTCACCCGAATGCTGGAAATTCCTAAAAGCCAATTTCCAGATGTTGTCCCTGGTTCTCACAGATCTTCAATTGCTTTCTTCTCTCTCCCACTCTTCAGCAATCCAAGACAAATTGTCTTTCCAAGAAAGCGATCGAAAAGAAAGGGAAGAGAGGCCTGACATCCAACTAAGTCTTGAACAAGGTAAAAATGACAGAATAAAAATTTTCTCATTGCTAAGAGGAAAAGGAGACAAGGGAGGTGAGGGCCCAAGGTTCTGAGGGGAAATTGTGAATCAGGGAAGACGTGGAAGGACCATGGAGAAGTCAAGGAGGGGGTTGTATGAGCTCCTACCCAGATGTCGGGTCTGGAGAAGTGGCCAAAACAAGACATAGTTGGCTCAACAACCATAAAGGAATCAGAGCCAAGTGTGTCAGTAGGCCAGATTTACAGATGCTAACTACCTAGAAGTAACTGTGATTTAGAAATGTCCCTGTAGGAGGTCAGTATGAAGCTGTGAAGTGTTGAGAACCACAGCTCATGGCCCATGGTCAACATCAAAGAGGAGACCCTTGGGGGAAGAAAAGCTCCTTTTTTATCTGTACTTTCACATTCTCAACACTTTTGACGCCAAACGTGGAAAATCTCCCCACACCAACCATCTCCAATTCCCTGCAGAACTGTGAACCCCATCCTAAAGGGATTTCCAAAGGTCACCTCATTAACATAAACTCAGGCTTGGTTGAAATGGGGTTGTTATGCATAACAGGAAGTGCGACTGAGTCTCTCTCTGTCACCCAGACTGGAGTGCAGTGGCATCATCTTGGCTCACTCACTGCAGCCTCCGCCACTTCTTACTGTTTTCGAAGAACATTAGTAGTTTCTGGAATGATAAGAGCTTTTTAATTTTTTTCTATTTTACTCAGGACTACAGGTAGAAAAATAAAAGTAGAGAAAAGGAGGAGGAGGTGCAAAACATGGGGAGAGCATGACTCTGTTATGTGTCAGGCGTGATTATAGGAGCAGGCATATTTTTTCCAGAGAGCACTTCATCTTAGCTCAGAATATTAGTGTGCAGCATCACAGCACTGGGAACTCTTCTCTGGTCACTGTCTAGAGGTCACCCAAGGAATGTGTGTGACCTCGAGAAGCTGAAAAGACAAGGAAATAGGTTGTCCTTTCCAGACCCCAGAAAAGAATAAAGACCTACTAACATAACGGCTTTAGGCAGTGAGACCCATGTCACACTTCTCCCTGACATAACTGAAAGATAATAAAATACAATAATAAAAATAAAATAACTCTTTTGTTTCTCATTAGTTTCTGGTGAACTAGAAGATTACCAAATGACCAAAGAAGGAGAATCAGAAGAGCTTGCTTCTAGCTTGCTATGATGTGATGTACCAAGTAATTATAACTTAAAAATAATAAAAACAGGTCAGGCGCGGTGGCTCAAGCCTGTAATCCCAGCACTTTGGGAGGCCAAGACGGGCGGATCATGAGGTCAGGAGATCGAGATCATCCTGGCTAATACGGTGAAACCCCGTCTCTACTAAAAATACAAAAAATTAGCCGGGCGAGGTGGCGGGCGCCTGTAGTCCCAGCTACTCGGGAGGCTGAGGCAGGAGAATGGCGTGAACCCAGGAGGCGGAGCTTGCAGTGAACTGAGATCCGGCCACTGCACTCCAGCCTGGGTGACAGAGCGAGACTCTGTCTCAGAAAAAAACAAAAACAGAAACAGAGTTCTGATAATGAAAAAAAAGACAGAAGAGGGTAAAAAGGGAGACTTGAAGGAAGAGTCAAACATAGGGAGGAGCAGTGAAAGAAGATTTCAGAGGAGAAAGTAGAGAAGTAGGTAGCAACCAGGGTGCAGAAAAGAGGGTTATTGGGGCAAATTAAAAGTTCATAAATTACAATTTCGGCCCAGGAGCAGAGCAACCAGCATGTGAAAATGAGAAGTGCTCCTATGTCATGGGTTTCTCCGAAGAAGTGCCAGAAAGCCCAGAAGCAAAGATGGAAAATGGCCAAGCATGTGGCAAAATGGGTAAGGCTGCCTGAGGGCTGTGGGATGGGGATGGCTCAGGGGGCCCCACAGACCCTGGGAAGAGTGGAGGCAGGTGCTCCAGTCCGCCCAGAATCCTGTTCTCTGCATTTGCTTCACCCAAGCTTTTGGGGAACTACAGGGAGGCAAGAGATCGTTATAAAGTTTTACTTATCAGGATGGGCTCTGTTGATTACATATGGGTGACGTCATAGAACGGTGCTCTTTAAAGTGGCAGTTATCCTGTTTATTGCATTAATATGTTAAGTTACACTCAATATTCCATGGAACCCAAGACAACCCAGTGAACTTCTGCTGGTAGATAATAGTGTCATTTTGCTACACCTTAGAAAGGCCTCACCCAAAAGACAACTAATCCAGGTACTTAATTGTCAGGAGGGAAGACTGCAGATCTACTCTTACCCCAAACCATACTTTTGATAGAAGACCCAGGGCCCATCCTAGACTCATAGTTCTCAGTTTAGTGGTTCCTCTAGAAGAAAGAGAGGAATGACTATCCAAACATCTTTATAAACTCCAGCCTTCTATAGTATGAATTGTCCTAAAATCTGTAACTTTTATTTATTAATTTCTGTTTCCTCACCACCACTTGTTATTTTCTAGATACTGTGGGTATTGGAAACAACTCTACTTTGGAAAAACCCAGGAGGAAGAGAAGTAAGAATAAACAAGAATTTACTTGCTTTCAGTGTTACAAATATGTTTTTAATGCCAGAGTTTTCTTATTGTCATTGTTACTATTTCTGTTATTATTTGCAATACTATAGTAGACACACTGGTGGCCTCCCCAAAAAATGTCCACCTCCTAATCCCTGGACTGTCATCTGCTATCTTACATGGCAAATAGGACTTTACAGATACAATTAAGCTAGGGGCCTTGAAGTGAGGAGATTATCCTAGGTTATGTGGGTGGGTCCAAACTAATCTTGTAGGCTTTAAAGCGTGGAGAACTTTTCCTGGCTATGGAGAAAGGAAAATGTGACTATGGAAGAATCATCAGAAATATGTAATGTTGCAGGCTTTGAAGATGGAAGAGGGAACCAAGGAATGTGGGTGACCTCTAGAAGCTGAAAAAACAAGGGAATAGGTTGTCCTTTCCAGCCCCCAGAAAGGAATGAAGATCTACTGACACCTTGACTTTAGGCAGTAAGACCATGTCACACTTCTCAGTGACATAACTGGAAGATAATATACTTGTGTTGTTTTAAACCACTAAATTTGTGGTAATTTGTTATGGCAGCAATTAAGAGTAATATAGATGTTGGTACTTGGCCATGGGGTGTGGCTATCACATATTCCTGAAAGTGTTGGGATGTCTTTGAGATTGGGCAGTGGAAAGAGGTTGGAAGAATTTTAAATAGTGTGATTGGAAAATCCTAGATGAAAAAAATGGAAGTTAAGTCAATTAATAACCCTACAATGGTCTCTAAGTGCTCACGTTAAAGGAAGAGTCATGTGTACTCACTTTAAATAAAAATCTAGAAATGATGAAGCTTAGTGAGGAAGCTATGTCAAAAGTTGAGATAGACTGAAAATTAGGCCTCTTGCAGCAAATAATTGGCCAAATTATGACTGCAAAGGAAAAGTTCTTGAAGGAAATTAAAAGTGCTACTCCAGTGAACACTTTAATGACAAAGCAGAGCAGTTTTATTGCTAATGTGGAGAAAGTTTGAGTGGTCTGGATGGAAGATCAAATCAGATTCCCTTAAGCCAAAGCCTAATCCAGAGTAAGGTCTTAACTCTCTTCACTTCTCTGAAGGTTGTGAGATGTAGGAAGCTTCATAAGAAAAGTTTGAAGGTAACAGAGGTTAGTTCCTGAGGTTGAAGGAGAGAAGCTGTCTCATAACATTAAAGTGCAAGGCGAAGCAGCAAATGCTGATGTAGAAGCTTCAGCAGGTTGTCCAGAAGCTCTAGCTAAGGTCATCGATGGAGTTGGCTACACTAAACCACAGATTTACAGTGTAGACTGAACAGCCTTCCACTGAAAGAAGATTCTATCTAGAACTGTCATAGCTAGAGAGGAGAAGTCAATGCCTGGCTTCAAAGCTTCACAGGACAGGCTGAGTCTCTTATTAGAGGCTAATGGAGCAGGTGACTTTCACTTCAAGCCAATGTTCATTTACCATTCTGAAAGTCCTTGGGCCCTTAAGAATTATTCTAAGTTTACTCTGCCTGTGCTGTATAATTGGAATAAAGTCCAGATGACAGCACATCTGTTTACAGCATGGTTTACTGAATATTTTAAACCCACCGTTGAGACATACTCCTCAGAAAAAAAGATTCCTTTCAAAATATCACTGTTCATTGACAGTGCACATAGCCATCCAGGAGCTCTGATGGAGATGTACAAGGTGATTAATGTTATTTCCATGTCTGCTAACACAACATCCATTCTGCAAGCCCATGAATCAAAGAGTAATTTCAACTAGCAAGTCTTAATATTTAAGAAATACATGTTGTAATGCTATACCTGTCTCTATACATACTGATTCCTCTGATGAATCTGGGCAAAGTCGATTGGAAACCTTCTGGAAAGGATTCACCATTTCACATGCGATTAAGAACATTCATGATTCATGAGAGGAGGTCAAAATATCAACATTAGCAGGAATTTGGAAGAAGTTGATTACAACCCTTATTGATGACTTTGATGGGTTTAAGACTTCAGTGGAGGAAGTCACTGTAGATGTGATGGAAATATCAAAAAAACTAGAATTAGAAGTGGAGGCTGCAGTGGCTCACACCTGTAATCCCAGCACTTTGGGAGGCCAAAGCAGGCAGATCACCTGAAGTCAGGAGTTCAAGACCAGCCTGGCCAACATGGTGAAACCCTGTCTCTACTAAAAATACAAAAATTAGCTGGGCGTGGTGACTTGTGCTTGTAGTCCCAGCTAGTCGGGAGGCTGAAGCAGGAGAATTGCTTGAATCCGGGAAGCGGAGGTTACACTGTAGCAGGAGATTGCACCCTACACTCCAGCCCTGGCGGATAGAGTGAGACTCCATCTCAAAAAGAAAAAAAAAAAAAAAGGTGAGTCTGATGATGTTGACTTGAATTGTTGCGAATCTCATTCATAAAACTGAATGGTAGGCCAGGTCGGTGGCTCAAGGCCTGTAATCAGCACTGGAGCCGAGGCAGGGTGGATCATGGAGGTCAGGGATGCGAGACTATCCTGGCTAAACACGGTGAAACCCCGTCTCTACTTAAAAATACAAAAAATAGTACCGGGCGCCAGGGTGGCGGGCCGCCTGTAGTCCCAGCTACTGCGGGAGGCTGAGGCAGGAGGAATGGCGTGAACCCTGGGAGGCGGTAGGTTGCAGTGGCCGAGGATTCGTGCCACTGCACCCTCCGCCTGGTCGGACAGGGAAGACTCCGTCTCAAAAAAAAGAAAAAAAAAAAAACTGAGTGGATAAGGAGTTGCTTATTATGGATGAGTAAAGAAAGTGGTTTCTTGAGATGGAATCTGCTCCTGGGAAAGATGCTGTAAACATTGTTGAAATGACAACAAAGGATTTAGAACATATTAGTTGATAAAGCAGCAACAGGTTTTCAGAGAATCTACTGTGCTAAAATGCATCAATAACTTTACATGTTACAGAGAAATGTTTCATGAAGTCCATCAACATAGCAAACTTCATTACTGTCCTATTTTAAGAAATTGTCACATCCACCTCAACTTTTATCAACCACCACCCTGATCAGTCAGCAGCCATCAACACCCAGGCAAGACCCTTTACCAGCAAAGAAATTATGACTCACTGAAGGCTCAAATGATTGTGAGCATTTTTTGAGCTATAAAGTATTTTTAATTAAGGTTTGTCCATTGATTTTTTTAAGACATAATGCTATTGCATACTTAATAGACTACAGTAAAGTATAAACATGATTTTCATATGCACTGGGAAACCAAAAAATTGAGTGTCTTGCTTTATTGCAATATTCACTTCATTGCAGTGTTCTGAAACCAAACGTGCAATATTTGTAAGATATACTTATATGTTTTATCCCAAAGACGTTTGAAATTTTTATCTGATCATATCTGTCAGTCTTTTCATTTATGGTTTCCAGGTTTTATGTACAATTTACAAATATATTATCCTCCTCATAATTTGAAAACATTTTTACTTGCTTATAGAATATTTGAAATACTTTTTAATGTTTAAATCTATAACACATATGGAATTCATTTATTGGTGTTTGATGTGAGATGGTGATTAAGAGATATAACCCCAATACCTTTTTTTTCATGATTTGAAATACGATTTTATATATGTTTTCCAGTATACACAGATCTGTGCCTTATCACATTTCTTTATCCATTCATCTATTGATGGAGACTTAGGTTGTTTCTATGTCTTAACTACTGTGAATTATGCTGCAATGAACACAGGAGTGCAGATATCTCTTTGAGATACTGGTTTCATTTCCTTTGGATACATACCCCAAAGTGAGATTTCTGAATGGTATGTTTTTCTAGTTTTAATTTTTTGAGGAACCTCCATACTCTTTTCCATAATGGCTATACCAATTTACATTCCCACTTACAGTATACAAGGGTTCCTTTTCCCCACACCCTCATCAATACTTGTTATCTCTTGCCGTTTTGTTAATAGCTATCCTAATAGGTGTGAGGTGATGTTTCATTATGGTTTTAAGTCACATGTCTCTCATGGATGGTTAGTGATATTGAGTACTTTTTTATAACCCATTGGCTATTTACGTCTTTTTTTCGGAAAATGTTTATTCATATCCTTTCCCCATTTTTAAATCAGGTTATGACATGGTTTTGTTTTGTTTTTGCTATTGAGTTATGTGAGTTCCTGATATATTCTGGACAGCAACCCTTATCAAACACATGGTTTGCAAATATTTTCTCCTATTCCATAGGTTGCCTTTTCATTTTTAAAATTATTTCCTTTGCTGTACAAAAGTTTTTCAGTTTGATGTAGTTCCACTTGCTTATTTTTGCTTTTGTTGCCTGTGTTTCTGGTGTCTTATCTAAAAAATAATTGCCCAGACCAGTATCGAGGAGCTTTTTCCCTGTTTTCTTCTTTGAATTTTATGGTTCCATGTGTGACATTTAAGCCTTTAATCTATTTGGAGTTAATTGTTGTATATGATGTAAGCCAAATATCTAATTTCATTCTTTTGCTTGTGGATATTCAGTTTTCTTAGCACCATTTATTGAAGAGGCTATCTTTTCTCCATTATTTATTCTTGGCATCCTTGTCAAAATTAAGTGCCCCTTCTTGACATTTATATTTATCATACTGCTGAAGTCCTAGTCAAAGCAATTAGGCAAGAAAAAAAAGTCGTCCAAATTGGAAAGAAGTTAAATTGTCTCTGTTTCCAGGTGACATTACCTTCTATGTAGAAAACCCTATAGACTCCACCAAAAAACTGTTGGAACTAATACATGAATTCGGTACAGTTGCAAGATTTAAAGATCAGTTGTGTTTCTATGCACTAACAATGAACTATCCAAAAAAGAAATTAAGAAAACAATCCCATTTACAATAGCAACAAAAAGAATAAAATGGGAACAAATTTAACCAGAGGTGAAATATTTGCACACTGACAACTATGACACTGATGAAAGAAACTGAAAAAGATACAAATAAATGGAATTTTTAACCCTAGCTAAACATTTCTTATCAAA